CGGAGTAATGTGCTTTGGGAGATGTTCTAAGCCTTAGTGCTAGCGGTTGGTTTGAACTCAAAAATGGTGTTTGAAAACTGATTTTGTTTATGCTTGGATTAGACGAATTTAGGATGGCCACCTAAAATCTAATTCCAAATTGATAGTTTTGATGTCTTAAGTACGTTAATAGCTGAGATTTTCAAAACACAAGTGTCACCCGATTAATACTTAATTGGCTCCCATTCGGTTTTTATTAATTGGAGTTTTCAAACTGGCTATGTTAAATAGATATAGTCTACTGGATAGTTGTTAAGTGATGTTTTCCAAAGAACTTAATGCTCTATTTTTAATTAAACCTGGGGGCAGGTCCTTGGGTTGTTAAGAATAGTAGGGTCTAGAGTTAGGGCAGGACTTAACATAGGCTAAACTAGGGAGAATAGGGAAGAACCGCATGTGGATTTCTTCTTTAACTTAACCCAAGAGTTTTGTCAATCGTTTTAATTTGGAGTAGTCTTAGTTAATTTGAGAATCTAGATTTGATCAATTTGTTTTCCAAAACTATAAAGTATTTTTAAAAATTAGTTTAAGTTAATTACTATCGTTGGAGTTTTTATAAAGTTTAAGTGTTTGTCTTTGTGTCGGTGTGTTCCTCATGTGTCTCTTTTCAAGGTTCAAGTTGATGCTCTGGTTGTGTTTTCTTTGCCCATTTTATCCTTTCTACTTATCTTTATCTTTCCAATTTATCTTTTAAACCCCCCCCGAATAGTTAGTTCTTTTACTAGTTGTTTTTTTTAAAATGGAAAAAAAACGTAAAACTTAAGTAAGTGATTTTCAAAACTAAAGAATATCTTTCTCTGTGGGATCGACTCTTACTTACCCTAGCTATAAAATATAAGTTTTAAATTTAAAAAGGGATAAGGAAAAAGAATTAATTTGTAGGCACTACGACACGCCTAACAATAGTAGCACCTGCAAGTGGGCTGTCAGAGCTGTTAAAATGCCACGCGGTGAAATGTTTCACATTCGCAGGTAGCGTTCCTACTCATTATGTTGCTAAGTGCTCTTAGACTTTTCACCGCTTTTGTTGTCCAAAGATTTTTGTGTTAGTGGTGTTTATCTTGTTATACGACATTTTTATTTATGTGTTTTTAGTATTTACACTTCAATGCACCTATTTGTCATCATCTGAAGCAAGTATATTCTCCCAGGTATGACTTTGAACATCAGTGTCCTGTTGATGTTAGACAGGGTAAGACTCGCCAGGCTACTTCTTCAGTTGTTGCTAAGCTTATCAAACATCAATTCAATGATGTGACGCAGAAGCCGTATCCTCTTAAGTCCATAATATCAGACATGCGTAGGGACCATGGAATTTTTATGAATTATAAGAAAGCATGGTTTGTGAAAGAAAAGGCTTTGAAATTAAGTTTTGGATCAGATGAAGAGTCATATGCAATGCTGCCATCTATGTGTTATATGCTAAAAAATTCAAATCCAGGTTCCACCACTGAGCTTAACACATTTGATAATGGGTTCTTTAAGTATTTCTTCAAGTCTCTATGTGCTTGGAAAGATGGATGGGCTCTTTGCATTCCAGTTTTGATTATTCATGGGTCATTCATGAAGTCATACTATAAAGGCACGCTTCTAACCGCTGTTGCACAGGATGGGAACAAACAAATATTCCCACTGGCCTTTGCCATTTGTGATGCTGAAGACACTACGAATTGGAAGTGGTTTTTAAAAAAGGTTAAAGAGGTCCTTGTAGCTCAAGAAGTGAAGTATATTGTGTCTGACCGCCATGATGGCATTATAAGTGTTGTGCAATCTGTTTTCCCAAACGTCATGCATGGACATTGTATATATCACATTCTTGGTAACATTAAGACGTCATTCCGTGGCTCTGCAAATGCTGTTACATGGAAGTTTATTCGTGCTGTAAAGGCTGCAACTGTTCGTGAACGGAATTGGTATATGAAATTGTTAGATGAGGAGGATCTAGCCATTCAGCCATATCTAGCACGCATTGGATTTTCGAAGTGGTCTCAGGCAGAATCAGCAAACAATCGATACTCAATCATGACATCAAACAACGTTGAGTCAATGAACAGTGTTGATGCTTCAGCCTGCGAGTATCCCATTGCACAACTTATTGATTTCATAATTGTGAGGATGCAAAAATGGTTCCATGAACGGAGAACCTTGGCTAATTCTACGTCTTCTATTCTGACAAGGCATTATGAAGCAAAGATGAATGAGCTACATGCTTCGTCTGCAGTCATGAGTGTACGTCTCACAAGGCATTATATTCACATTCTTGTTTCTTTTTCATTTATTTTATTCTACTGCCACAATGCATTTTCTTATGACTATATGTTTTTCATACTTTGACTATCAAGAATATTTTTTTCAGGTTTGCCCATCGTGTGAGTATGAGTTCCAGGTTTTGGACACCAATGGAAGGGCTTTTGTAACGCCCCAAAACATGGTCCAAAAGTTATTCTATAATAAAAGTAGTTTAGAAATAATATTTTGACCCAACAACACATTATTTCTATGTTTGACCAAAAATAAAGGAATTTTTGAAGTCAATGATTTTTTTGTTAAGATTGACTTTTATGTATAGGTTTCGAAGAGACGAAACCAACGATATATTTTATGAACAAATCTAATTTACGGATTTTGAGTTGTGACATTTTAAATATGTAATTTGCATAAAAAAATGAGTAGTTGTCAAAGATATGAACTTTTGTAAAATGATATATTGAAATAAATTATTTAAATTGAAAAATATTGATTGAATATGAGAGCACTTTTAATTGTATGTCAATTAATTCAATTTTGACTTTGTCAAAGTCAACAACCAAAAATATAGTGTCATAAAAAGTATTCCAAAAAAATGTGAAAATTATATTGTTGCGTAGAGCTTGACTGTCTGAACGTAATGGTACAATCAAATTTCAATTCAGATAAAGTTGGACAAAAATATGGACCCTGATTGGGAACATTTTAGTCCCAATCAGGGACAGAGGTGTGAAATCTCCAAATATCAGCCGCCTAGTCCACTACGAAGCATGGATTGGATAATTAGGCACCAAAACCATACAACTCTTTCTTCATTCTTGGCCTATTTAAGGAGGTTGCATCTTCTACAAATCTCCATCATTCTCTCCCATTTTTTTTCTATTCTACTCCTTGTTGTATGGAGAACAATCCGCAAGTGATCGCCGCTGTTAAAGTCACCGGAGGTAGCCACGGTTCTTGCCGGAACTTGCTCCGGAAAGTTGAAAGAAGAAAACATCCCCTTTGCAAATCAGCCCACTTGTGAGCACTTTTACACCCTCTAAACGTCATTATTTTAATCTGGTTTCTAAACGAAAGTTGTAGCCTTATGTCTTACGAAACCATAGCTTCAAACGGTTCGCGATTTCGTTGAGTAACGAAAGAGATATCGCCCGAAAACCGGGGCTGGTACAGTGGTGACGGGAAGCAGCGAGTTTTATGATTTCCAACGTTGTTTTCGCTCGCGTTCGTTCATTGAGCTTCATATCGTCGATTTCCAGGTCTGTACCATGATTTTAAACAACTTTAGAAGGCACTGGAATGACCCTTGAACTTATTGATTCATATATATATTTGAAAATATAAATATTTTGACATTCATAATGACCAAAGTGGTTTTGTTGTTAAAGCTTCAAATAAATTGTTTGTGAGTGATCTGTGGATGTTGGAAAACATTTTTATGAAGTTAGTTTAAAGCTTAGAAGCTTTTATGGTGTTTTGAGAAATTGTAGCAAAGGTTGAAGATGATGAATAGTAACTCTGTTTTTCCTGCAAATGATCGTTGTGAACATTTTAAAGTCCGAAAATGCTATTTTTGAATATATAAAATCCTATCTTTTGATACATCAATGAAAAGACAATTTCTTTAAAAAAAAATGATGTTTGGACAACTAAAGAACCTTATATCATTTATGGCGATAAGCTATGTGTTAACACTCAAGGTTAAGCCGCTATTTGTTATTGGATATTGTGATGATTATTATGATGTTGTTTATGATTAGACTTTGATGAATATTCTTATTAAAATAATAATTATGAATGATTAAATCATGATTAAAAATGGAAATATTGATGATTATGAAAATGATGTGTATTGTTAAGGATATCTAGAAGAACTCTAAGATATACCCACTTGGAAATTGATGATTATTATTAAGGATATCTAGAAGAACTCTAAGATATACCTCCTTGAACAATTCATGATTCGGGGTTAAAACGTACGTACGAGATCCAGACCGGATATCACCCACCCGACAGATCACTGTTCGGTTGGTACGTAATCCACGTGACTCATAGGGTGGATTATTGATTCTTGTGTTCTGCATTAAACTATTTATAGTTTAAGGGCCTGGTTAGAAATATTGCCTTAGACTAGTCATAGTTTAAGAGCTATGTTATCAATATTAATTTGACTTAGACTTAAAATAGTTTAAGAGCATTGATATAATTTAGCCTTAACTTAGAATAAGTTAGGAGCAAATTGTGATAAAATTTGATATGAAAATCATGTGTAATAAATGATGAATTTGTGATTAAAAAAAAGTGACATGTGATTATTGTGAATTATGGACTGATTAAGTGATGATAGTTAAGATTGACTATATTCATTATCATTGTTAAAATAAAAAAATATGAATTTAAATATGAAAAAGCGAATATTTGAACATATATATGTGATGAGTATTGTTTAAGAAATTATTCCGTGAATTCTTTTGTTGTGCCATGGTACCACTCAGCTTCATTGCTGAGCGTGTAGACTTTTTTTATCTTTCTACACGTAGGTATGAGAGAGAATAAATATGGAGCCTATTTTGGAGATTACTGAGATGGAGGTGATGCGTGGACGTGCACAAAATTTACTATTTAACTAAATGATTTTATCACATGGTGACCACACTGTTGTAATTTGCAAATCGCTTCCGTACTATTTTGAATAATTTTACTCTGATGTATTATGAAATATTTAGTACAATATTTGAAATAAAGTTTTTAAATGTTTGAAATTTTTACGTTGCCAAGTTAATACTTTAGTCCAAAAGGGGCTGCAGACCTGAACGGATTAGGGTGTTACAGCTTTTGTAGTTAATCTTCGGTCCAGGACTTGTACTTGTTGTGAGTTCCAGACCGATCACTTCGTATGTGTTCATGCTGTTGCAGCTATTCGTACACGCCCAAGTGTTTCATGATATGAATTTATATCAAAATACTACACTATTTCTGAGTGAATTGCAGCATATGAAGGCATTATACACCCATTGGCTAATAGAGACAGTTGGGTTGTTCTAGAGGTTGTGTCGGGTATTTTGTGTAGACCTCCCTCATGTTCTAAACGCCCACCTGGAAGACCCAAGAAGCGGCGAATTCCATCTAAGGGTGAGACTACGAGCAGGCAATGTTGCTCCCGGTGTACAATGCCTGGACATAATAAAAAAACATGCACCAACCCCCTTTCTATCATGTCATTTCACTCTTTTCTTTAGCTCGGTTGTTTTTACTTTTCATTTATGTTGAATGCCATGATATTCATGTGTTTGTGGAATGGGTCATGTAGGATCGTTTTTTTTGGAACTTCCCAGTGGGTCACCCATCCTAGGACTACTCCCGTTCCAGCACGCTTACCTATAGAGTTCTGAAGTTAAAGAGGTGCCAAGTGCTTCCTAAAACCAATTGGTGATAGGAAGGTGGTCACTTTGTATTTAACCACATCTCTCTGTAGCCCCAAGCCGAGGTAGATTCCTATAGGGCACCCCCTATAGTTCACTACGGTAGTGCGGAGCCCCACTACTGAGCGGTGGATGGACAGGAGAGGCTTCGCAAGATACATGACTCATGTACCTCGTCAGGTTGGGCTGTCAATACCCGATACCGTGACAAACACAGTAGTGAATCTAAGGGTGATCGATGGTCCCCCATAAGACCAACAATCTCCCCCCCAGCGACACCTGGGGGATTCGAGCCTGCTTCCTCGCTCCGAACCCCCTTTCTATCATGTCATTTCACTCTTTTCTTTAGCTCGGTTGTTTTTACTTTTCATTTATGTTGAATGCCATGATATTCATGTGTTTGTGGAATGGGTCATGTAGGATCGTTTTTTTGGAACTTCCCAGTGGGTCACCCATCCTAGGACTACTCCCGTTCCAGCACGCTTACCTACGGAGTTCTGAAGTTAAAGAGGTGCCAAGTGCTTCCTAAAACCAATTGGTGATAGGAAGGTGGTCACTTTGTATTTAACCACATCTCTCTGTAGCCCCAAGCCGAGTTAAATTCCTATAGGGCACTCCCTATAGTTCACTACGGCAGTGCGGAGCCCCACTACTGAGCGGTGGATGGACAGGAGGGGCTTCGCAAGATACACGACTCATGTACCTCGTCAGGTTGGGCTGTCAATACCCGATACCGTGACAAACACAGTAGTGAATCCCTAAGGGTGATCGATGGTCCCCCATAAGACCAACAATCTCCCCCCCAGCGACACCTGGGGGATTCGAGCCTGCTTCCTCGCTCCGATACCACTTGTAGGATCGTTTTTTTTGGAACTTCCCAGTGGGTCACCCATCTTAGGACTACTCCCGTTCCAGCACGCTTAACTACAGAGTTCTGAAGTTAAAGAGGTGCCAAGTGCTTCCTAAAACCAATTGGTGATAGGAAGGTGGTCATTTTGTATTTAACCACATCTCTCTGTAGCCCCAAGCCGAGGTAGATTCCTATAGGGCACCCCCTATAGTTCACTACGGCAGTGCGGAGCCCCACTACTGAGCGGTGGATGGACAGGAGAGGCTTCGCAAGATACACGACTCATGTACCTCGTCAGGTTGGGTTGTCAATACCCGATACCGTGAAAAGCACAGTAGCGAATCCCCTATTGTTGGAACAAGGGTTTACGCCTATGTCGTACTAAGCCGTGTTCGTTTTATGACAGGTTTTGATAATGCCAAATCACCGTGACAATAACAAGGTTAAACTGAGCAAAACCAAGGCGAAGGAACATGGCATGATGGACTGAGAACCAAGAACCAAGAATCAAGAACGAAGACTTAGAATTATATTGAGTCGGTTTTAATGTGATCAAGACTAGCACAAACCTTCAAAACATGGCTCTCTAGGCTCATTTCATCAAAATATTTTTTGCATATTCAAAATGATTTTCTTAAGTCTTAAACTTGCCTAAAGACACTTGGAGTTCGCCCAAACCAAAAACCAAGCCATCCGGCATTCGGTCTTCGGAAACCGGCGTTCGGCTTTCGGTTATCGGCGTTGGTTTTTGGCGTTCGAACCGACCAAGTGGTTTTCAACTTTTAATGATTAGTTTTTACTTCTGGGCATATTTAAATAGTTCTCCAACAAAAACGCTTCAAAAACCACTTTCCGTTTTTGGTCGTTTAGTGAAAACCATGCGAAACGACATGAACTTGGTTAGTCGTGGTTTTCAACTAAATGACGTGGTTTTTAAAATGTTTTACTTTATTTCTTAGCAAAATGCAATAAACAAATGTTTTCAATACTTGGTTTTTACTTTGGAGAACTTGTGTTTTTGACATCGGCTAACCGCGTGACTAAACCAACCATGGGTCTGGCTAAACCAGCCCAACAGCGATGTTGAGGTAACCAACAGCGCTGTCTGGCTTGGGTAGCTAAAAACATGGTTTGGCGTTAAGTCCTCCAACAGTGATGTTGGACATTAGACATCGCTGTTGAGCCAAGGTTGGATTTCCAGAAACTTCTGGAACAGCGATGTAGGCTTCGTAGAAAATTTTGGACAGCGATGTTGACCCAGAAACAGCGCTGTCAGGACAAACTTCCATCTTCAAAGGCTGACCTAAACAGCGATGTTCTAGTATGGAACATCGATGTAGAGACCTGACCGTTGGAAGGAATTTAAGGCTAAAACTTTCCTTGTTTGGAAGTCAACAGCCAAAACAGCGATGTAGGGATTTTAGACATCGTTGTTGGCATGACCGCTGCTTCCCATTTTTCAAAACGCAAGCCTAGAACAGCGATGTCCAAGCCTAGGACAGCGCTGTCTGGGTGAATTTCAACAGATCCAAATTTCATCAAATCCCACAAATTGTGCCAATCACCCCTTAAATACTTTGGTCCGTTGGAGCCTATTTTTCTACTATAAAATGGGGTGTTTGGGTATGTTTTACATATCACATTACTTCACTACTCCTACTCTTTCATTGCAAATCATTCTTCAATTATTCATAGCTTTTGAGAGCCATTTTTTTTGAGAAGCTTGTGTTGTGTTCTTGAGCGTTCTTAGTTTACTCATTATCCACTCTAAAAGAGAGTATTGTTCTTGAGTGTTTTTAGTGTTCTTAAACACTTGACAAGAGAAGGTATTTCTCTTGTTGTTCGAAGGAAGGGCTGTTTCCTTCGAAGGTTCGTTGAGATTCGTGTGACTCGAATTCTCAAGTTGTACGGGTTTGTTAAGCACCGTTAAGCTTAACGAGGTAGTAGTGTAGCTTGAGAGAGTCTCTCGGGAGGCTGGATTAGCCACAAGTTGTGGTGAACCAGGGTAAAATCGGTGTGCCTCTTACTCTTCTCTTTACTTCTCGTTTATTCATTTTTTTTATTCCTGCGATTTTTGATCAAACGCTATTCACCCCCCCCCCCCCTCTAGCATTAGTCTCTTATTCTAACAATTGGTATCAGAGCCTAACTCGCGTCCAAACTTAACCGTTTGAGAGTAAAGCGATCATGGGCTCTTCTTCTAGAAATCTCTATGCAGGAATTGGTGAAGGTCAATCAACTTCTAAGCCACCACTCTTTGATGGCACCAACTACTCTTATTGGAAGGAACGGATGAGAATCTACATTCGTTCCACCAACTTCCAATTGTGGTTGGTGATCAAAAATGGCGAAGAAATCCCTATGAAGAAAGTGGGAGAAACCACGGTCCCAAAGACCGAAAACGAATTTGATGCCGAGGACATCAAGAAGATTGAAAACTATGCAAAGGCCATCAATATGCTATATTGCGCGGTCAACCCCGATGACTACCGAAAGATCTCCTGTTGCACAACCGCCAAGGAAATGTGGGACAAGCTTGAAGTGACGTACGAAGGTACCGATCAAGTTCGCGAAGCCAAGATCGATTTTCTCACCCAAGAGTACGAAATGTTCCGGATGAAAGAAGGTGAGAAAATTGATGACATGTTCGACCGGTTTTCAAAGATCATCAACGACCTTCATGCTCTCAAAAAGACTTACACCAACAAGGATCTCGTGAGGAAAATCGTGCGAAGCCTCACACCCGAATGGAGGTCAAAAGCCGATGCAATCTATGAATCCATTGGAGTCTCCAACGTCACCATCGACGGGCTAAGAGGTAACCTTAAAACCTATGAATCTACTATTCTAACCCCGTCTTTGGAGAACAAAAGAAAAAGGGGATAGCTCTCAAAGCCACCAAGGAACCGGTGGAAGAGGCTTCAAGCGATGACGACAATGAATTCGTCTAAAACCTAGACTAAAACCTAGGAATGAAAATGGTCATAGTAGACAACCTAAGAAAAATGATTTTGTGCATAAAAATGAGTTTTCTCAAATAAGAAGAAATAATGCTAGAGCACCTAGAAGAGGCCAATTTCAAAATTTCCAAAACCCATCATTTTCACAAAATAAGAACAAAATGGTTAAACCTTCTAACTATTATGAACCTAGGCACATGTACAACCCCAATGTAGTTTGCCATTATTGTAATAGGATAGGTCATATTCCTCCTGTTTGTTACACTAGGCATAGGCACCTATCACAAAATCAAGCACACTACCATTACACACCTAACACCCGAGGACCCAACGTAAATTGGGTACCTAAAACTCATTGATGTGTTTCACAGGTATGCTTGAAGGCATCAAGTGTACTTTGGTACCTTGATAGCGGATGCTCCAAACACATGACCGGGGATGCATCCAAGTTTCTCCAAATCAAACCCGCTAAAGGAGGAAACGTAGTTTTTGGAGAGAATAGCAAGGGAAAAATTATCGGCGTTGGTTCAGTAGGTAAATATGAAAACTCCTCTATAGATAATGTCTTGCTTGTTAAAGGTCTCACACACAATCTCTTGAGCATAAGTCAATTATGTGACAAGGGAAACCGTGTGACTTTCGATTAAAAATCATGCACGGTAGAACGCCTTAGTGACAATAAGGTCATTCTACGTGGTGATAGAATCGATAACATTTATATGGTTAACTTAGACAAATCTCCTTCCGACATTGCTAAGTGCCTCATGAGTAAAGAGGAAGACACTTGGTTATGGCATCGAAGGGTAGCTCATATGAACATAAACCTTTTGAACAAATTGGTTTCACAAGACTTAGTAATTGGCATTCCAAAACTTAAGTTTGAAAAAGACGCCATATGTGATGCATGTCAAAAGGGGAAGCAAGTTCGGGCTTCGTTTAAGTCTAAGAACGTTGTTTCAACGTCTAGACCGCTTCAAATTTTGCACATGGAGCTTTTTGGTCCTTCTAGAACGAAACGTTTTGGTGGCAATTACTTTGCTTTTGTGATTGTCGATGACTACTCTAGGTTTACATGGACCTTGTTTCTTACTCATAAAAGTGAAGCATTTCATGGTTTCAAAAATTTTCTAAAGAAAGTTCAAAATGAAAAAGAAACAACCATAGTAGCCATAAGAAGCGACCATGGGGGAGAGTTCGAACGAAATCTGTTTTCAGATTTGTGTGACGAACTTGGCATTGATCATAACTTCTCAGCCCCACGCACACCACAACAAAATGGAGTGGTGGAACGTAAAAATAGATGTCTCGAAGAGATGGCTAGAACTATGATCAATGAGGCAAAAATCCCTAAGTATTTTTGGGCGGATGCCGTGAGTACCGCGAGCTACGTGTTAAATCGAGCCGTCATTCGACCAATACTCATGAAAACGCCCTATGAACTATACAAAGGGAGAAAGCCAAACCTTTCCCATCTTCGAGTCTTTGGTTGCAAATGTTTTATTCATAATAACGGCAAAGATAACTTGGGAAAATTTGATGCCAAGTCGAACGAAGGGATTTTTCTTGGTTATTCTCTTCGCAGCAAGGCCTATAGAGTATTTAATAAACGTACTTTGACTATTGAGGAGTCTCCTCATATTGTATTTGTAACGCCACAAAATATGGCCTAAAATTTATTATAAAACAAAAGTAATTTTTGTTCAATAAGAAATGTTTGTATGTTTGACTAAAAATAAATGGATTTTCAAAATAATGACTTTTTATTAAAAACTTACTTTTATGGATATGTCTCAAAGAGACGAATCGAACGGTACATTTTAAGAACCAATCTGATTTATAGATTTCAAGTTATGTCAATTTTAAATATTGAAATTTGTAACTTTGACCAATAAAATAAACTCAATTCAAAAGTGTTTTTATAAGATTAGAAATCATAATTTTGACACTTGACAACACCATATTTATCATTTGGATTTAATCCATATATTTTTATCTCATTCATATTATAAAATTAATTTGTGACAGAGACAGATCCAGACATTAAGAAAAATAAAAGTTATCAGAAAAATATTTTGATTACGTCAAAATTCTAGTTTTGACAATCTCATTCCAAAAACACAATTCATTTTCAATTCGGAGTAGTTTGGGCGAAAAAGCGCGTACCGTTTGGAGTAAACTGTTCAGTTTTGGCTAAAAGCCAAAACTTAATTCTCAAGTATCTCCCCAAATCACGTAGCCAACCAAGGGATATCTCACAAGCCTATTTTTAAATCTCCTCCAACTCCATTAACACAAGCCTCCAAAATAATCATATAATACTCCACCACCATCTTCATCATTATACCTCATTATCATCTTCCACCACCGCCATCATCATCATCTCATCTTTCCTCTCCCATTTCCTCTCTCTGTCGGTAGTCCAAGAAGGAGGAAAAACCAGCTCTAACTCCATTGTTGAGCCAAGAAAGGAGAAGGAGAAACAAGAAGAAGTATCAAGGTTTCCAAATCTTAAGCTCAAAAACGCAGCAGCCACTTTAAGGTAGAAACCGAAATTTTCCATCCATTATCTCGAAATACTTCTTGAACCAAAGTTGTAGCCCCGGACGATACGAATCCAGCCCAACAAACGGCTCGCAATTTCGTTAACTAACGAAGATGATATGGCCAAAATACCGGGACTGCGCCAGTGGTGGCGAGCTCCTCGCGTTGGCATGTGTTTCTTCACCAAATTCATATTATTTCATTCCAAATACCTACCATAAACTCTCTAACAATTATTAGGAACATCCGGAAGGTATCGTAGAGAGGGTTTGGCGTTGGAATATTGAATTTAGTGAGTTAATCGTTGGAATCATTGTTCATCGTCATATCCGAAATTCTGGACAGCAACTTTTCCTTGACTTCAGGTCCGATTTACACTATCTTACATATGTTAAAACGAAATACTTTCTGTACGCAAGTTGTAGCCTTACGTCTTAGGAATCCACAGAATCAAACAGTTTGCGATTCCGTGAAGAAACGATGGAGATATGCCCAAAATACGGCAGGCTGTCCGATTATGACGGAAATGACAAAGTTGGCAAATTTCAATGTTGTTTCCACTCCCGCTCATCCGTGAGGTTTTGGCCATTTAATTCCAGGTCTGTACCTTTGCGTTAGACTTGTCGAATCATTCATCACATTCGTACATGAACATATATGTTAATCCATTTGTTGAAATCATTCCAAAATATATATGTGATGCATATATAAGTCATCTATGTGTTAAGAACAAAATACACCAAATTCATAAAGTTAATATATATATATACACATAAGTATATTTAACCATTTGAAATCAACCCAACAACATGTATATGTTAATCAAAGGTGTTTAAAAGACTTAAAGAAGTATTTTGGACACTCAAAATATCAAGAGAAAGATTCGCAGACCCAAACGGTCGACGCAAACGGTCAACCGTCACGTTAAACATCGAAATAGACCACGACTGTCAGCCAAACGGTCGACCGCCGCCAGCCAACCGAAGTTCGCCATCCGCAGCCAGTCAACAACGGTCGACCGCTGGCCAACCACGGTCGACCGTCACGGTGATCCGTCAAATCTGACCTGATGAAAATCAAGGTCGACCGTCGCTCCAAACGGTCGACCGTTCCGAGCCCCGTAGCTTAATTAAATGATATTTTTATCAGATTTCACCCAAATAAAATAAAGTATATTTATCCATTCATATTATTTACAAATTGTTCATATAATATTACTCATATCATCACACATATTGTAGCATATCATATCATATGCATGCGTAAGAGATCTTGCGTAATTGCGTCTCTTATAGCGTGGTTGTGCGGGACTTAGTAGTCCGACAACCCTGATTGGGCTTAGTGTACGTACATGGTATTCAGACTTTCGAGTACCACCCCTATTTTTCTAGTCTCCCTTGTGAGACTAAGAAGGACATGAGTTCGTCGTACCAAATGGGCGAATCTCATAGTTGCAAGGTCGTTCCTTGTTGACTTAGAATCATACAACATGAAATCATCATCAAGTATAGTTATATTGATTACATAGGTGTCATGTAATCATCATCAAGAACTAGCAAATTGAATAAATGTGCCATGTATTTATCAGTAAATATTCATCATCATGAATCATCAAATTGATCATATGACATAATGTGCCATATCATGAACATTATTATACACTTTGCGGACGTATATATATGTATATGTATATGTCTGTTAATTATTCTACAATTCTAGCGTGGTACCACTCAGCGGTTTTGCTAAGCGTGTAGTTTGTATTTTTTCGTTGACTACACGTAGGTAACAAGAAGACAATGATGGAACCATTCCCGGAGGGCATTGAGTCAGCGGAGATGCAAGGATGGCAGGCAAATGTTTGGTCATCAGATATTAAACGTGTCATGATTTGATTATTATTGTACTTCCGCATTACTCTGAAAATATTTTTAAATGGGTCGCGATCCAGAGTCTGTAAATTTAATATTTATAAGAAATTATCATATTCAAATGTCAAGCGAAATTTTTATTTAACTCTCGTTTCACCTTAATTCGTGTAATTCCGGGTTATACGGATTGGGGTGTTACAGTATTTTCCGAAGATAATCCTCGCTTGGCGAGAAAGGCTATTTGTGATGATCTTGCAGGTTCATTAGAGAGAGTACACATTGAAGACGATGAAGAAGACATGCCATTATACACCAACCCGCAACCACAACCTGAGGAAACACCTCAAGTGATGGTCGAAAATGAGGACCAAGCGGACGAAGAAGAACAAGAGGAAGCCCAGAAACAAGAGGAAACCGAGCTTCCCATCGCCTAGAGAACGCACAGAAACCATCCACTTGATCAGGTAATCGGCAGCATCAACCGCGGGGTAAGTACTCGTAACTCTCTTAGGGACACCGTAGGACACATGGCTTTTGTATCTCAAATTGAACCTACAACCATTTCCGAAGCAATAAACGATGAACATTGGACCTGGGCTATGCAAGAGGAGCTAAACCAATTCAAACGAAATGACGTTTGGGAATTGGTGCCAAGGCCTGATGATCGCACGATTATTGGTACGAAATGGGTGTTCCATAACAAACTTGATGAAAATGGAATAATCACTAGAAACAAAGCTAGGCTCGTAGCTAAAGGCTACAATCAAGAAGAAGGCATTGATATTGAAGAAACGTATGCACCTGTAGCACGTTTAGAAGCTATTCGTTTACTTCTTGCTTTTGCTTCGTCTATGGATTTTAAACTTTATCAAATGGATTTTAAGAGTGCCTTCCTCAATGGTTTTATTCAAGAGGAAGTGTATGTTGACCAGCCCCCGGGGTTTGAGGACTTTGAGTTTCCCGATCACGTCTTCAAACTCAAGAAAGCGCTCTACGGTCTTAAACAAGCACCACGTGCTTGGTACGAACGTTTGAGTAAATTTCTTTTGGATAGTGGTTTCCAAAGGGGAAAGGTAGACACCACACTTTTCATCAAGAGTAAAAACAATAACATCCTTTTGGTTCAAGTNTTATCAAATGGATGTTAAGAGTGCCTTCCTCAATGGTTTTATTCAAGAGGAAGTGTATGTTGACCAGCCCCCGGGGTTTGAGGACTTTGAGTTTCCCGATCACGTCTTCAAACTCAAGAAAGCGCTCTACGGTCTTAAACAAGCACCACGTGCTTGGTACGAACGTTTGAGTAAATTTCTTTTGGATAGTGGTTTCCAAAGGGGAAAGGTAGACACCACACTTTTCATCAAAAGTAAAAACAATAACATTCTTTTGGTTCAAGTTTATGTAGACGACATTATATTCGGTGCTACTAACGAGTCTTTGTGCAAGGAATTCTCAATGCTAATGACTAGCGAATATGAAATATCAATGATGGGCGAGCTCACATTCTTTTTGGGACTCCAAGTTAAGCAAATGAAAGATGGCACGTTCATTTGCCAAACTAAATACTGCAAGGAGCTCCTAAAACGGTTTGAAATGGACAGCGCCAAAGCCATGGCGACCCCAATGAGCACGTCTGATCATCTTGACAAAGACGAGAAAGGTAAGGAAGTAGAGGTCAAAAAGTATCGAGGTATGATCGGATCCCTTCTTCATCTTACTGCTAGTAGGCCGGATATCATGTTTAGCGTTTGCCTTTGCGCAAGGTATCAATCGTGTCTGAAGGAATCGCACTTAACGGCGGTAAAACAGATTATGAAATATCTTGCCGGCACGGTAAACGTTGGACTGTGGTATCCAAAAGGCTCTTCTTGTCATCTCGTTGGTTATTCCGACTCGGACTTTGCCGGTTGCAAATTAGACCATAAAAGTACGAGTGGGACTTGCCACTTACTTGGTAGCTCTCTAGTCTCATGGTTTAGTAAAAAGCAAGTCAGTGTTGTGTTATCCACAACCGAAGCGGAATATGTAGCCGCCGGTAGTTGTTGTGCTCAAATTCTTTGGATGAAGCAACAACGCGTGGACTATGGCCTTAGTATCAATTACGTCCCTCTTCGTTGTGATAATACTAGCGCCATAAGCTTGACGAAGAACCCCGTTCTTCACTCAAGGACGAAACACATTGACATTAGGCATCATTTCATTAGAGATCATGTTCTCAAAGGTGATGTCGAAATTGAGTTTGTTGAAACACACAACCAATTAGCCGACATTTTCACAAAACCTTTAGAGAAAGAGTCGGTCTTCCGCATTCGAAGTGAACTCGGAATCCTTGACTCCACGATGATCTAAGTTATGCATCTAAACTTATTAAACGCTTACTAACTTGAGCGTCGGAGAACTTTTTTCTTTTTTTTTGCAGGTACCCCGTTCATGAAATCAGGGAGAACCATGCAAACAGCGCTGTCCAGGAGACCAAACAGCGCTGTTGAGGAAACACCGTCAACCAGAAAGTCTGCCAACAGCGCTGTACAAGACCTCAACAGCGCTGTCCCAGGGAGTACCTTAAATCTTCACTTTCCAGAAACTTTTTGAACATCAATGTTTCTTTTTAAACATCGCTGTCCACCCAAAACACCTTGTTTTCAACCAAAACCAGAAACTTTTTAAACAGCGATGTCCCACTTTCAACATCGATGTCCACTTTTACAATTTTTTTTCTATCGTAAAACAGCGATGTAGAGAAACCCAACAGCGCTGTTCTAATGGGTTCAACCCCTTACACAATTCCAGAATGATTTGGAACATCGCTGTAGGGAACCCAACATCGCTGTCCTTTTAACACTTATTTTTAAAACTTGACGCATAACAGCGCTGTCCAGAGGCTCAACAGCACTGTCCCAACAGCGATGTAGCCTTTGGAACATCGCTGTTCTGGATAAATTTTTCAAAAAAAATATCCGTTGGCACCAGCATTAATTGATCCAACAGCCATATTTTTGAAAATCTGGACGTTGGAGACCTCTTTCTCTATAAATTGGGACCTCCTCTCTTCACTTTTACACACACAAACACAATTCTCTTCAACATCTTTGCCTATTTCATCATCTCTACTCTTTTCTCTTGAGTTTTCTTTTCATGGGCAAGGACAAGAGCAGGGCTGCCACCTCTGGGAAATCAAAGTCCAAATCCCGGGCGCCTACGACATCCACCGAGGAACGCCTCTACTATGGTGACGGGTCATACCTTTGGTTTGATTCTGAGGAGGAATGCACCCGTTTCCTCACCTTCTTCTCTAAACGGGTTGTGGCTCCTCCACGGATCGTCCCGGAGCGCTACTGTTGAAACACGGGCATGTCACGTTTTCGTACTAAAGCCGAGTTTGTTTTTATGACAGGTTTTGATAATGCCAAACCATCGTGATCAAGTCAAACTTTGAATATACAAGGCGAAGAAGGAAGACAAGAATAAGAGCTAAAAGAAGACCAAGAACGAAGACCTTAGTCTTAGTGTCGTTGAGTCGGTCTTCATTGTGATCAAGACCGACCCAATCTTTACACCTTGGCTCTTTAGGCTAAAAACCTTCATTGCACTTCTTAAATCATAAAAATGCTTTTCAAACATGTTTAAGTCATTAAAAAACACTTGGTGTTCGCCCAAACCAAAAACCAAGCCATCCGGTGTTCGGGTTTCAGAAACTGGCGTTCGGCTCTCGGTTATCGGCTATGGTTTTTGGCGTCCGAACCAACCAAGTGGTTTTCAACTTTTTGTGATTGGTTTTTACTCTTTGGCATGTTTAAACGGTTCTCCAACAAAAACACCTTGAAAACCATCTTTCGCTTTTGATCGTTTGACAAAAATCATTCAAAACGGCATAAAACTTGGCTAGCCGTGGTTTTCACTTAAATGACGTGGTTTTTAAAGTGTCTTACTCGATTTATTAGCCAAATACATCAAATAAGTGTTTTAAA